TTCGCAGCCACGGATGCTGACGGCAGCGGCCTTGGCGGCGTCTGACCCACGTGCAACACGGATCCCCAATAAGCCTGACTTGCCGTGCCTGACGACTCCTAGGGCTTTGAAGTCCACCGACTTCTGAAACGCCTCTGCCATCGTGATGGGCTGGTCCTCGGGGAACCACACGGTCTGGTACTTGTCTGCCGTGGGCTCGTCCGCACCTACGTTGCTGAGGTCGTAGGTGGCGCCGAGTTGCCCCGAACCCGCCAAGACCTTGTCAACTGCTTGAAGACTGACGCCGAAAGTGGCAGCCAGGGACCTTTTTCCGACGCCAGATCCGTACCTGCCTAGACTTTTGCAGGGTTCGAGGATAGTGACGGCTTTAAAGTTGCCGTGGAAAAGGGCCTTGAAGGTGTCCTGCAGCTGACTGTCGAGCTCCTGGCGGCGAGCGTCTTTCTTAGACTCCCTGTGCTTTTGGTTTTGGCGCGCCTTGTCCTGTGGAGCGGAATCCCCTCGGAAAGGACCCTTGGCGCGTGGACCACCGTTCACGGGGGCGCCTCCCGAAAACTGATCCTCGAAGGCCTGATGCATGGAGGGGACTGCGGCGATGGCTTCGGTTTCATGTATGGTCACCCGAATCCAGCATACGTGGTCGGCAGGATCAATGGTGGCGACGGCTACTTTTTCCGTGCAGGCGACTTCCTTGGTGCCCAGCTGGTACACGGTCACGGGGACGTGCGTGTGAACCACATTGGGCGCCTTGGGGTGGCGCTTCAGCACGGGGACGGCGAGCTCGGTGCCGACGTAGTTGTCGTTTTTTGGGCCCATGACAGCGATCGCGAGCTGACCCGTGGTACGCTTACCCTGCTCGAGATGGTGCTGCAGCAGCCGCTCGCCACTCTCGTAGTCGTGGAGGCTGATGCTGGGCTTGTACGTCTTGCCGTCGTCGAGTGATGTGGGTTCGGCCAGGACTGGGACCTTCCAGAAGGCCGGGTCCAAGGCAATAAATTTGGCGTCCGCAGCCTGAAGACGTGCGGACGCAGCTGGTGGATAGGATGTGTCACCACCATTGCGCTTAGGCTTGCTGCGCTGGTGGTGATCCAGCGTGTAGCTGATCTGGTTGGCGGCACACATGCGAATCAAGGCACTGCCGAGCTTCTTGGTGTTGGTCTTGTGCATGTCGTACGTGGCCTGCAGCTCGTCCGCGTTCAGCTCGGCGAGCCCGTTGTATGCGGCTGTGGGGCGGTCAGACCCCGCTTGCTTGAAGGCTGCAATGCAGTCCTGTTTGCGTTGGAGGAGGGATCCTTCAGCTGCAGGACGTGAGCTCGGCGGCTGCTTGGAAGAGCGACGGCGCTCCGGCTTGGCGGGGGCCATTGCGGCGGGCGCTCTGGTGGGAGGGAAGAGGTGACGCGAATCAGTAGGGTCCTGCTGGGACCCCTCCGGTCTCGCGAGGCCTGGGAGACTGGCTCCGAGGCGGGGCGCTTCGCGTCGCGGCTGCGGTCTGAGTGCAGGGCACTCTCGAGCCGAGACTAGAAGCAGAAGTAGAGAGAGAGAGAAAGAGAGAGAGAGAGAGACAGAGCGAGACGAATCGTGTCACACATTTGAGACATAAGAGTGTGCTTGATGTGTTCCCCTTTACCACTTCCCATGTTCATTAGATGATTCCCTCTGCTCGCACTCAATATAGTTCGTTGTACCCTGAGTCTCGTACTGTGTTCAGTCCCCTTGTACTGGACTTTCTGATATGTGTGAATGATGCCTCCATTAATTCTCCATTTGCTCATCTCGCCCTCTCGTTCTCGCTCTCTCTCTTTGCCTCTCTCTCTCTCTCTTGTTCTCTCTCTCTCTCTCTCTCTTTCGTATTCCATCTCTCTCTCTCTCTCTCGCTCGCTCTCGCTCGCTCTCTAACTCTCTCTCTCTCTCTCATCCACTCAAGTGGTGTGACAATGCGCATTTGCGAATTTGGATGCCGCCGCCCTGGCCCAGCCCCTGCCCCCCCGGGTGGGTCGAGCCAGGGAGACGCCCTGGATCACCCAGCATGGTTTCAAGGCTCCCCCTCCTCCTCCTCCTCCTCCTCCTCCTCCTCCTCCTCCTCCTCCTCCCCACCCCCCTCCCCACCCCCCTCCCCACCCCCCCTTTGGTGAGTCTCCGGCGGCCAAGACGAACCCCAAACGGCACAACGACAGGCACGGTGCGTGGCATCTTCGGGGGGGCCTCGCCCGTCCCCCAGACTTGTGTCTTTCCTTGTGCCCGACGCGGGCTCGATGCGGACCCGATGCGGATTTAGCATGGTTTCGACGCGGATTCGACACGGTTTCGACGCGGATCCGACGCGTCCGACGTATGGATTCGACACGAATTCGACGCAGATAGGGCCGCGACGAGACAGACAAGGCCCGTCGAGGATGCGACATAAGGCACAGCATGCCTCAGGTCGGTTTCTGGCTCCCGCTTCGCATGGCGACTTTTCGTTTCGATGTGTTGGTGCCGCATCTGTGAGTCGAGCAGGGATGGTCGCGTTCCGCACCCCTCCTCCTCCTACTTCTCCTCTTCCTCCTCCTCCTTCTCCTCCTCCTCCTCCTCCTCCTCCTCCTCCTCCTCCTAGTCGGCGTTGGAGCTCAGGCAAATTGAGCCCCGACGGAGGGAAGGTTTTCGCAAACACCACAGCCACACAGGCTCTCCTGCCGGGGCCAGGGGAGGAGACGGAGGCAAAACACACATAACAATCCCTGCAGCCCTTCCGATACCGCACCTCCTTGCGATCCTTTCCAGAGTGGTTGGGGCGTGAACCAGTGATGGACTTCTCTTGTGCCGCATCTTTCCTATTTTCGATGGAAGATGTGGGTGTGACCTGGAAAAAACGACGAGCCAAAGGCGCAGAGAACGGACCTGCCGCACCCACGCCCAGAAATGCCAGTTTGCCCGGATTGCAATGTGTGAACAGTTGGTTGCTCAAGCCTCGGGAACCGACATCGAGGCGGACCGCAGCGAGGACGACAACGGCCGCACCGAAGACTTCGCCTAATTACCCACGGGGGCTCGCCCAAGTTCACGAGAGGGGCGGGCATACGGCAGCGGGGGAGTTTGCATAGCTTGCTCGGCTCCCCCCTCCCCCTGCGTCCTGTCGAGCCGAGGGGGAAGAGCTGCCGGGAGAGTTTGCAGAGCCGCCTCGGTTCCCTTCAGCGCCTGCGCCCGCACGGGCCCAGGAGCCGCCCGCTTCAACCGCAAGCGAATCCATCCGTCTGGAACCGCTGTCCTTGGAGGTCGAAGAACACCTGCGCCTATGGAATCCGATTGGCCCTGCTTTGCATTCGTTTGTTCGTCGGCGAGCAAAATTGGAGGACAACAGTCCGAGGGCAGATGGAGGCCTCGAAGCACAACTGACCCAATGGAACCCGATCGGCCCTGCTTCGCCTTCGCTTGTTCGAGGGAGGATGAAGTTGTCAAAGACAAGCAATTGGGAAGTTGGAGGCCCAGAGGTTCGGAGGTCATTTGCTCCTGCCGAGGATGAACTTCGAAAACCCATTTGGAGTCCGGCAGACGTGCCGCTGGACCCAGGAGAAGGCAAGCTGTTCGATGAACCCGAAGATGCGCCAATCTCGGAGGCAGAGGACTTGTTTCAGAGACACTGGATGGATTCTCGCGGAGAGCCGAACGAGGAGAAGAAGGTTTGCCTCAAATATGTCCCTGGGATAAACATGTTTCTGCAAGTCTCCAGTATTGCAGCAACTAGCGAAGGAATATCTCATGGCGCATGACAGACACGGTGCGCAGAAGGTGGGATGGACATTGGAGCAGTTGCTGCAGAATTAGAATTTCTGTTTGACAAAGGGGTTGCGCAGGTGAAGAGGAAGTGGAGGGGGAGCAGGCAGTTGAAGGAACGGGACCGTAAACATTTCCCAACGGGGGCTCCTGACGCCCTCATAGTGGTTAATGAAACAACCATTGGCGAGTTGGTAATCGAAGAACGGAACCGCAGCTGCTACGATCAAACCGTGGAGGGCATCGTCTGTGACATTATGCGGGACAAAATTGGCCAGTATCTGTCTGCGGAGGAAGTACTGCACCTATTGCCTAACAGAGGCACATTCCGTATTTTGCCGACATTGGAATTTGCTTATTCAGCGTGGGAAAGCATAGGAGATTTCATCCGGTTGGGAGACAAGTACACATTTGCCTCACGTGAGACAGGCGAGACGGCACGAGTTGAAGCAAAAAGAGCAGGGGTCGGGCATTTTTGAGCGCGTTTGGCGCGGGATGCGCCTGTCTCGGCGCAGGAAGAGCCGTGCGCAGTAGCCAGGGCATCTCGGAGTGCAAGCCTTCCTGTCCTCTCCCCTGTTGCTGCTGTTGATGCCTCCTCCGCCTTCCCCCTTCCTTCTCTTTCTCGGTCCTCTTCTCTGTAGGAAGCCGAGAGGAATTTGGCTCGCGAAATAAAGAGGGGCATAGGGAACCCTTCTGCTTCTTGTGCAGGCCCGCGCGCACGTGCCATCGGCGCAGGCCCTGGTAGAACGTGCCGGCGGTGCCGCACCCCTTGGGCTCGCAGCGTAGCTGCTGACTGGTCATCCAGGGCTCCATGCGAACGGGCCTGCACGATCGCCTGTGGTGGAGGCGGTGGGGAGTGAGGGCTTGGGGCGAGGAGGGCAGCGTGCACGCCTAGTGGCCGGTGTGCCCACCAGTCTCTGCGCAGGCCTTGGCAGTTCTTTCGATCTGATGTCGAAGGGCTGTCGGGTCCTTGTTGCATACTTCTCACGCAGGATGATTACGCATACGCTCCGCATTGACCTTAGCGAGCGCATTGATGTTGAGACCCCCTCATGCGGATGTCCTGTCCTGTCCTGTCCTCCTCCTCTTCCTCTGCCTCCTCCTCCTCCTCGTCCTCCTCCTTGTCCCGATCATCGTCCCCTGTCTCCCTCCTCGCCTCCTTGGTCCCCCTCCCGCGTCCCTCGTCGGGATGCTCGACCCTCAGGCCCCCCGCCTCATGCTCCTCCTGGCCCGGAGGCGGGCGGATGGGGCAGGTGGCCGGGCCGCTGCTGATGCCGGGAGCGGCCGCCCGGCGCGCGGTCGCGCGGCTGCAGGACCGTCGGGTGCTGCGGGGATCCTCGGTCGGCACGATCAGATTGGGTTTGAGGCGGGCATGTCCCAATATCCAAAACTTGTCAAACAAAATAGTACGGGGACGATTTGTCTAATAGGTTTTTGTTTTGGGTGGCAATGTTTCGTTCTCCTGTTTATAGATCTACGTGTAGGAGGACATACCCGACCTAAGATCAGAGTGGGCGCAATCAGCCACTTGCATTCAGAGGAGGAAAATATGTCCACACCGCTACCCTTCCCCCGTTTTCCCCTTGTTCGCCCTCCTGGGAGGCCCTCGTCGCCACCGTTGGATTCGCTTCGAAACCCGGGTCAGAACGCACCCCATAAGAGGTTTCCCCACGTGCATTCGTTCGGCCACGTGAATCAGCGTCACCCCCACTCGCGTCGACAGGCAGGCCCCGGTGCGGTCTGCGCTGAGGCAGGCCTGTCGGGGACGGCCAGCCGACGGACTCGCCGTCGCGGCGTTCACCACACGGGAGGACCAGGACGTGGGTACGGGAGTACGGGAAGAACGGGGACGAAGACTGGCATGGCAGCAGGAGAGCGGTTTTTATTCCTGGGCGATGCGACGAGCGTTCCCTGGAGGGGGGGAGGGCGGGGGCAGATAACGTCACGCTTCGCGCCGGCGCTGTCTAAGAATGCTTCGAAGTAGCCGAAGACAGTTCGGAGAGCAGGTTCTAATAGGGATCTGCCACGGCACTTTGCGGATGCTCATGTAATTAAGGATCTGCTAGGGCAGAGCGACTCCCTTCTGCTCATCCTTTCCTTCTTGCCCAAGCCGATAGGCGCTCACACAACTGCAGCGTCAGTGGAGCTGGTCGACGGCGACCCCGTCGACCAACCAGGCGAGTTAAAGGCAGAGCCGCAACCCTCCAAGTCGGCGAGGATACAGCTCGGTCCAGGCGGAGCTCAGACTCGTAAGTTCCAAGCAGAGGCGAGCGCGCCAGCAACCATCCTGGAGCAGGAAGCAGCAAGAGCGGGACGGCGACACGACCAGGCAAGCCAGCAGGCGGTGGGAAGGACAAGGACAACAAGGAAAGAGAGATGGTGAGGACAGAGGCAGGGAAGACTGCGCGCGGCTCAGGCGCGCAGGCAGCGAGGCTGCGTCGCCAGCCTCCTGTTGATGCCATTCTGGCAAACAGGCCGAAACGTTCGGCCGCGTGCTCGATCGAGCATGGGCCCACAGTCTCCTTCCCCACCGCCTGCTCCGTCCATCTCCACCTTCTCCTTGCGACACTGCGCTACAGGACAGGATGAATAACAAGAGGGAGGAATAGGGAAGATGGCGAGCGCGAGGAAGTCCAAGCGAGCAAGACAGACTGACAGCCAGGTACGGCAGCGGCTGGCGAAGTCGGCTTGCTCGCGCCATGCCGCCCTCACTCCCTTGCAGCACCCCCAATATTCCACCTACTGATGCCCGAGCCGTTGGGTACGTGCCCACTCCATGGGCGGACACAGGGGCGCTGCAGTGGGGCGGGCTTTCTGACACCAACATCCATTTCTCATTATGAAATTCCTCCACCTCGACTTCGCAGCTCCGTGCACGAAGCGCGCGCGACGCCCACGCCAGCCCATTCGGGCCAAGGGCCGCGAATACTGTCTGGAGAGCTCGGATGGGACGAACTTCTAGACTTCAGCAGAACCTGAGCACGGCAGCACTAAGCTGCGGCTCCGCCGCTGCTGTCGGCGAACTCGCAACTCCGGACACGAGGCGCGCGCGACACCCACACCAGCCCATTTGGGCCACGGGCCGCAAATACAGTCTGGAGAGCTCGGGCGGGACGAACCTCCAGACTTCAACAGACCAGCGCACGGCAGCACTATGCTGCGGCTCCGCCGCTGCTGTCGGCGAACGCTGGCCCAAAACGGCGTGCATCCCCGCCTCGCCCCCCAACGCCGCCCAGACCTCCCTCCCAAGCACGCAGATTACAGCAGGCCAAGCAGAGCAACCGCTGGACGGCACTCCTTGGAAACTCTTCTCCCGTCACCTCCAGCACCACCTTCTCCGCATCCTCCATGAGCGGCCGACTCCGGCCACCCAGCTGCGGCGCCCGCCGGCCACCTAGCTGCGGCACCGCCCGGAAAGCTGGACCAAGAATGGAAAGGTCGAGAGCCTCCTGCATCCAGAAGGGCGAAGCAGTGCAACCGCCTCGAGCGGTCGACGGTGAGAGGCTGGCCATCTGCGCCGAGCTGGCGATCGAACGCGACCTGAGGGTTACAGCGATCCTGCAGTGCAACGCGTGGATCTCAATCGGAATTAAATTACAGAGCTTATACCGTTCCGGTGGGGACCATCATCGCTAGACCGAATCAGCATGTGAAGCGTCGGCGGAGCGTCATAACTAGGTCATCGCAGTTGGCTTCATGTTCTAAGCCGCTTGAAGCGAAAAGTTCTTATGCCCCAGCGCCTCACTTTGCTGTGGGGCATAAGAACCGATATGGCAGCTGACGCGGCTCTCTACTTGTTTCTCCTTCTCTGGGCTCTCTACTTGTTTCTCCTTAGACTCGCCTAAATCGCGACAAGATAACCCATCGAAAAACAATGCGGAATCAAGACGCTGCACTGGCCCGCTACTTGAAATGGTGCCGACCCTGCCCGGAACTTACGCGCCGAGAGAGCTTACGCACAAACGCATAACGGATACGATGTGCAACATATGCGTCTGCAGCGTCTGCCAGGAGAGGACAAAACACACAGACACAATTAATCGTCGATTCCCAGGAACATATGGAAAAAAATGGGAAGTGGGGGGAAGACAAACCCCCCAAATATAGGAACAGATAGGGAATCTGTTTATTTGTATGTATTTATTTGTTTGTCCTGGGGCCCCTTCAGTCTGCAGCACACTCCGAATCCGCAGACCAGTCGAACTTCTCTCCCCGACCCGTGCCCCAAGGTTGATTTTGAACCGTAAGCATCGGCATCGTGTTACCAATCAGGAGGAAAACAAAAACACACACACAGACACAATGAATCGTCGATACCCCAGAAAATATTAGAAAATATGCGAAGTTGGGGGGAAGACAAACACCCAGAACATATGGGAACATATTGGGAATCCTTTTATGTGTGTGTATTTATTTGTGTGTCGGAGGGCCCCTTCAACCAAACCTGTGGCGAAATCATGGGATGATGCAATCGTTGTTCCATTTATCTTTGAGGCCTGCGCCTCGCCTCCTCGTCAGCCCGCCGTTGGTACTCCCCATGGGTGCGCTGCTGGTCCCTCTGCGGATTGTCTCTCGCATACATCTTTGGGGTCACGTCTCCAGGTTTGATCACTTGTCCAATCATACTTCGGATGCGGGTCCGAGTGCGATTGCGATCTCCAATCTTCTCTGTGCCCCCACTTGTAGTCGAAGGAAACGGCGACGAGCACGTCCGCGAGGTATGCTTGCGATGATCGGGAATGCCAGTGAGGATGCCACTCCACCGCAGACGGCAGACCTCCCCATGGACATCGGCTTTGATCCAGGCTTCTTTGGGATCGGCCGAGATCTGGCGAGAGTCGACGTTGAGGTGAGATCGACGGCAATCACGTTGGGTCAATGGCCCCGCGATGCACATCAGGCAGAAACACCAGTCCCGCCGGAATCACTGCCAACGCAATCGTGAAGCGTTGCCATGGCACCCGTGGCCTCGGCATCGCTCGGACGTGTGCATTTTTCCTTCGGCGAGGACCATCGAGGAGCATTCTTGATCATTTGGCCAAAAAAAGCACGCACGAAACCAAAATAGCACAGGGAATGGACGTCCGAGCGATAGCCAGTGGCTTCGCTGATGCCGGCTAGTCCGGTGTGCGCTGCTCCTGTTCTCTTCCGGTGCGCGCGGAGGTTGGCACCCGCAAAACGGCTCGAACCAAACACGCTCGAGCCTTATTTGCTACGGAGCTTCCCCCTCTTCCTCATCCTCCTCCTCCTCCTCCTCCTCGCTTCTCCCTCGTCCCTCACCTTTCTCCTTCCCCCCGTCGTCGTCGTCGTCGTCGTCGTCGTCGTCGTCGTCGTCGTCGTCGTCGTCGCGTTCCTCCTCTCACGATCCTCGTCCTCTTTATGATCTTGCACGGTGCTTCGCACGAGGGCAGGTGGGAGGAGGGAGGGGGGCCGGGGAGGCGGGGGCGGGCCGCAGCGACCCGCTTGCTTACGCTTCTGTTGTCGTCGAGTCCTGCTTCGGGAGGGGTCTCTGGGCGCTCCTGGGCCCGAGACGCGACATGGCCCCGTGGTCGCCCTTCTCCTTTTCAGGAGGGGAAAAACCACACACACACAGACACAGACACAATGAATCGTCGATTCCCAGAAAATATGGGAACAAATGGGAAGTGGAGGGGGAAACAAAAACCCAGAAAATATGGAAAAATATGGTGAATATCTTTATGTATGTGCATTTATTTGTGTGTCCCAGGGCCCCTTTATCCTCATCCTCCTCTCGTTGTCCTCGTCTCAACACTGGTGTTCCTGGCCAAACGCGTCGCGGTGCTCGCGGGCCACTGTGGTGCTCGAAGGCGCACGCGCTGCCTTCGCCTGGCGGCTCTTCACGCACAGTCCTGCCGCGCTGGGAAAAGTTGACAAGGGGAGAGTTGTCCCGTGCGCTTCTTACCAGGAAGTTGTATACACATGACGCGGCCAGCCTGGGAGAAAGCTGGATACACAAATGGCCGCATGCCTTTCGCAGAGGCCCCACTGACATCCGCAGCATGTATTAAGGGCATGCGCGCTCCGTCCTGACAGCCTACCTCGGGGGTCCGCCTCCCCCTTGCTCCCTCTCCCCTCCCCTCGGTGCTTTTCCTTCGCTGCTGTTTCTTGTAGGCCGCCCGGCCCAAAGGCGTGCGCGCCCTGTCCTCCCCACCCCTGCTCGGAAGGGCCCGGGCAGGCCTTGCCGTGCACGCCTTGCCGAGACATCCCTAGCTTGCTCGTGCGGGACCCTGTGCGAGCACCGGCTCGAGGCTGGTTTGCGCGCTCGCGAGCTCTCCGCTGCTCCCTCTCTCTCTCTC